TACATGTTTGATACGGACAAATCCCAAATCCGTGTGTGGAAAGTCTCTTGGAATGGCCTTCAGATAAGAAATTAAAAATCTGTGAATGTCCAGATTAGAGGTTAAAAGAAATAAAGGAGGGGTGTAGCAAAGCATTCTAAGACTTGCCCATCGGTCCTTGAGGAATCCATACATAACATCAAAAAGATCTAACAAGTTTGGAGGGCATAGTGTCTGGAAATTCATCTTTGTTCCATGCTTCTTTTTTAAATAACTCAAGTTGGTGTATACGAAAAAGATTCGGTGTGCTGTTTCCACTCGTGTGTGCCCTGGTCAGATCTCCTTTCTGCCTACCTCATCCTAAGAGACCCTCCCAGTCATCAGTAATTATCATTCTACTTTCCTGCCAATCATTTTTTAAGTTTCCACATGTGACAGAACCTGCAGTGTGTGCCCTTCTATAAAATGTGCCCAGGCCATGTGTTGACATCCCCCAAAAAAACTCTGCCTGGGTACAATTCAGTGAATATCTATGCAGTCTACACCATGCAAAAAGGCCGTATGTCTCCAGAGCTATGTTCCGAACCCAGTTCAAGAGATAGAAGGACCCTTAGCGGGTGGCTGCCTGAGGGTGTCTTTTGATCTGTGACCAAGGCGGCAGCAAGAAGGACTGAGCGGACCTCTGTGGTCCGTTCCCCGCTTGCCATGGACTCAGAAGATGAAGAAAGAAAGTCAGCTGCTCTCTTCTTCTTCCATTTTAACAGACACGTGTGCATCATACATGCATTCACAGCACAAATACACACCATCAGGGAAGAGAAAAACTGCAGTAGGACCCCATTTGATAAAGCCCTATTTGGTAAGACAAGGAGTGATCAAGACATTCAAGGACTCCTAAACCGCTCTGGGGCTGAGGTGGGGGGTGTATAGCTAGGTGGCAGAGTGCAGGGTAAGCATGCACAAACCTGGGGTGGGTCTCTGGTGTTTCACAAAAGGCATGGCACCTGCAATCCAAGCACTTGGAGGTAGAGGCAGGAAGGGCAGCAGTGCAAGGTCATCCTCAACTTCATAGTGAGTTTGAGGGATCCTGCCACCCTAACTTCATTTTGAACGCTAACGCTTAGGATTTTTGTGAGCTCAGGAAAGCCCCATACACCTCTCTAAGATAACTGTTTGCAGAAATAAGCAAGGGCTTTGGACTAACAATGGCAACTACTCAGTCTATGTGCTTTCTTTTTCCCAGACTGTCCAGGGGAGATATTGGGACTCTACACTGAGCATCTGTGGCCTTGGAAGTCCCATCCCAGATGCTGCTTCCCCTGCCCACTGTCAACACGGCAGGTGTTGACATCTGAGTCAAAAAAAACCCATCACCACACTTAAACTATACCTGAGGCTGCTCTTGATCTTCCCGAAAACCAGGAGTGGGCTGGGCTGGGGGTGTGGCCACTGTTCAATTTCCCACTGGAGTCGAATTTTGTTGGGTATTTCCAAAGACTATTTTAGAAGACAGCATATCTTTGGATGACAAGCAAGATTCCCAAACAAAGCTTCAAGTGCTGGGTCTTGGCGGGCTTCCGTGACCCACAAAACTGCTGTTAAGAGCTGCAGTGGTTTCCTGAGGCCACCTGTGGCTTTCCCCCACTACCAGCTCATCCCACACTCAAGAAATGCCCTAATGTGGTGTCATTCCGTGGCGCAGTGAGCTAGTCTTTCTCTAAACTGAAGACTTTGCCAGCACACAGTGTCGTGGGCCTTCACGACATGTGCAAAGCTGTACAAAACACGCAGAGACTGGCCTTTAAAATTCAGACGCTTCCTGCTGTTGTTAGGGGGTAGAAACATCACGAAGAGACAGCATGCTGAGGTCTTTCAAGCTGATTGATGCCTCACTCTTAAGGTAGTAAATGTGACCAAAAATATTGCCATCTACTGAGTTTCTTAGCCTCAATACCAGGGAACGTCCCAAACTCTCAGACTTGGAATCTGTATCCTCCCTCCCCTCCCCGACCCCACAAGCCCAATAAAGCAAGTTCAAGGACTGAGTGGCACCAGTTCAATTCTAGTAGCTTTCAGGAGCAGAAGAAAGGACTTGCCTGTGGGGCCCACCATCCTCTCAGGAGCAGAAAAGCAGAGCATGTGCTTTTCATAACAAACACTAGATGGCACCGGAGTACAGCATCCAGCGCAAAACGACCATTTATAGTGATTTCTAAGGTAACTGTGCTTACTATTATGTATGAGGATGAGACAAGAACATGTCTTGATCCGCGGCAAGTTTGCCCTTTCTTCGGTGCCTACGCTCTCAGTCTTCCAGTAGCCCAAAGTACAGTTCCAGCTCTCCACTGTTTGGTGCTGGCATCATAAACTGGAACTGTGTCAAATGCTGGCATTTAAAATCAAAGGTGAGCAGGGAATGTGATCTCCTAGCTTTGCTATGACTTTGTGCAATTGAAAGTGTTTCTTTGGCTCGTATGTGCTGAAGCCATGGATACCATCTCTGGTTCACTGACAATTTTACAACAACAACACAAAAACAAAAACAAAAAAACACTGGATGCTTTATCAACTGCTCTTAAAACTCTGAGTCTGGGTTAAAGCAAGGAAATGAAGTGACCAAAGTCTATAACCCTCTAACCCTCCCTACTGCTCATTTCTTAATGCCAAGCGTGTATGTGTGTAGGGATGTGTGTGTGTGTGTGGGTGTGTGTGTGTGTGTGTGTGTGTGTGTGTGTGTGTGTGTGTGTGGTGTGTGGGGGTGTGTGTGTATGTTCAGGTTACAGGACATTTAAGCAATTGGAAGAGAACTCCTGTTGCCTCACTCTGCACACACCATGTCTATTTTCAACAGCTGCCAAAAGCTGCTAGAGTTGAACCGGTTCCACTCAATCCTTGAACCTGCTTTGTTGGGTCTGTGGAGTGGGGGAGGGGAGCGAGGGTACAGATTCCGAGCCTGAGAGTTTGGGCCGTTCCCTGGTATTGGGGGTGAGGAAGCCCAGTAGATGGCAACATTTCTGGTCATAGTTCATATTTACTAGCTTAAGGGAGAGGCATCATCATCCACTTTTGTGTGAGTGGTTTTCTCGATGAATGTGCTATGGCAAGCAGGAAGAAATCTCCCGGTAAGCACACATACGCACTCATACACCAGCCACTCACGTACTTTGGACCATTCTGACCCTTTCAGTGTGCCATGAGGTGTGTAGGGAGAATGCAAAATGGAACAATCCTCTTCTTCCAGTAAGAGTGCTCAAAGCAGACTAAATATATCCACGGGCTTCAGCCCGTGACTCATGATGCTATTTCGACGTCTCTTTCACCTCCTTCCGCCTCTCACCCAGAAGTTTCAGATGCCAATGCCTTCGGAAAACTCTCTCCAGTCAGGAGAGACATCCAAACCGGGAGTTTGGCTGGACTTGGAGGACAGTATGTTAAGTGTAATCATGTGTCAGACACAGGGAGACAACTAGCACGCACATGCTCCCACTCATATGCGGAAGCTGGAATTTTTGATCTGGTAAAACATAGAGCACTACATAGGGATGAGCAGAGGCTGGGAGGGGTGTGAGGCAGGGGAGGATGGAGGGGGGGGGTGCTTCATGAGTTCCAGGAACAGCCTCTAACATTCTGTAATGAGGCAGGGTAACTATTGGACACTGAACTGTATATTTCAAATACCTGGTAGAGATGAGTTTGAGTGTTCCCACCATAAAGAAATAGTGTTGGGCCGGGCGGTGGTGGCGCACGCCTTTAATCCCAGCACTTGGGAGGCAGAGCCAGGCGGATCTCTGAGTTCGAGGCCAGCCTGGACTACCAAGTGAGTTCCAGGAAAGGCGCAAAGCTACACAGAGAAACCCTGTCTCGAAAAACCAAAAAAAAAAAAAAAAGAAATAGTGTTGGAGTCAATGGACATGCCAATTACTTTGGTTTGATCATTTCACATTGTGTATGTGTATTGAAACATTGTACTGGGCCCCATAACTCTGCTCCGATGACCACGTGGGGATGAACAGAATTTTTTTCCATTCTACTTTTATTTCTGTGATGATAAAATATACTGACAAAAATGCAATTTAGGGGTGACAGGAATCATTCTACTGACAATTCCAGGTTACAGCCCTTCATTCCAGGGGCCTCCCAGAAGTAGCCGGTCACACCACAGGGGATGAAAATTTTCAACACACACATACATTATTTTTTTAAGTTCCAGCCAGGTAGAGTCTGAGCACAGCTTCTGTGCCAGAGATCGGCTCCAGGCTATTTTTGCAACAAAGGGTGGGTTTGTCATCTGGAAGCGACGGGATGGGGTGGGGGTGGGGTGTCCTAACTAACTTGTTGGCAAAGATTTGATAATCTCACCTTGGGAAGTCCTTCCTTTCCGTGCTGTAAGTGTTCCCTGTATTTGCAAATCTGTAAAAGAACAAGCTGGGCGCCTTTGAGGACCACTGGGCACAGCCCACTCTGCAGTAACAATACCCGGCAAATGCTCACCTTTGCTCCCACATTCTTTTCTGGAGCCCAGGAAGTTAGACAAACCCATGGGACTACCTTGGGCCAGTGACACAAGCCAGTGATGTGTGTTACCTCCAGACGAACCGTTCTTTGGACTCTTTGTGCCTCCACTCGGCAACTAAGATCAGCCATTAAAAAGTCCCTCGTGGTGTGGGTTCAAGGTGAGGCCTCTGCCCCTCCATCCCCGACTGGATGTGCAGTGTGGAGGCTGCTGAGGTGAGTGGGGAAGCATCCTTTATCAAGCCATGTTCGAGGATCGAGTCCCTCCATCTAAAGGTCTGTTTGGAATTGGAATAAGTGATGAGCTACCTAAAATTATTCCCTTTGGAAGTTCACGAAAAGTGTGCTACAGTGGGCGCCTTAGACTACAGTCGTAATAGTTTCTACATGGAACGCTCTGCCTCCGGGTCCCGTCAGTAACCAGGCTGACTGTATCCAGTAACTGACTTGTGGGTTACTCAGGAGCCATCACTTCACTTTAAGCAACAAGAAATTGAGAGACAAATTCATTTCAATCCAACACACTTTATTTTTTTTCAACGTTTTTTTTTCCTTAATTTTCAGTGATCAAGTATTCATGGTGTTGTAAACCCAGGTTTATTAGTCCTTTGACAGTCAGTTTCATTAAACATAAGGAAATAAGTCATACACCCCTTTGCATTGGCATAACAGGTCTCCAAATAAATATTTGTTCTAAAAACCACACAATCAAACACTACATAATAACTCAAAGCAGCCTTTCATCACCAACATGCCTCTACAAAGTAACACAGACAGACAGACAGACAGACAGACACACACACACACACACACACACACACACACACACACACACACACACGCTACACTCTGCGGATGTCCTAACGCATTTGACACAGCTTCACGTTTCCTTATACTACAAAGTCAAAGGCTGACTTGGGCTTCATGCTTCTAGATTAACATTTGGGTTTGGGGTAGAGGTATATATCATAAGAAAAATGCCCTCTGTCACATCTTACCCTTCAGTTTCCTTTAATACACCCTTACCATTACTTCAGTTGTCAATAACATTCGCTTCATCACTTTTGACATGTATAGTAGACGACCAGTAAAAGATCACAGCATCAGACCCCAATGCTAAAACCAAAACCAAACAAATGAACGAACAGCTCACAGGGCTCGAAGCTTCCTGGAGAAGATAGAAGGTTATCTAAATAGGTTTTTATCTCTCTGAAATTACTTTCAGCATCTGTTTTTTCTTGCTAAACTAAATACCAAAAGCACTGACTTTTCCGTAGGAAAGGATTCTCCCTTACACTTGTCATGTTTACGGTGTAGAGTTCATCAACTGTGAAAATGAGAGCCAAGGGGGCTTGTTCTCTGGGAAAATGCCCAGGTTTCCAAACACACAGCACATGCAGCCCCTTGTCATTGAAACACTGAATTCAGAGAGGAACATGCAGCTATAAACACTTTAGCACCAAGGCATTTTATTTTTAATGTCGCCAAAGCCAACAGCGATAAGGTGAGCTTCTGGTCACCTTTGATCCTTCTTAAGGCTGAGTAAAAATGAAGTGCTTAAAATCAAACCTCTTCCAACAAACACAAATCTGGTTGCAATGCAGCAGGAGGACTTCGCTTCTGGCGCTACAGTACTCTACAGCTGTCAGGAAAGGTGAGACTGAAATGATAAAGTGCACCCGAGTACCAGCCTAGCCTCTCCTGCCAGCGGCCCCACCCCCACCCCCGCCCTTAGTGGAAGAGAAAGCAGAGACATGAGAAGATTAGTCACAAGTCTGGAGAACAGAATTAGCGAGGCTAGCTTCCAGGCAATTTCTGGGGTTACAGTATTCGGGGTTTCTATCTGCTACTTAGAATACTCAGCATGTACCTTTGCAGCAATAGTTATCTTCACGTTCTATGCCTCTAGGACACGCACACACGTGCACACTCGCACATACACACACAGTCATGCACCCTAGGCAAGCACTTGCTTTTGGGGCTCACGGGAGAGTTCCCACAGGGCCTTTGGGTCCCTTCACACTGTGCTGTGTCCCTTCACACTGTGCTGCTGTTCCTTGGTGCATACAGGGTTCTAAAAAACAGCCTCAAAAAGACAAAAGAAAAAAGACACTTCCTGGCTGTAAGTTCACTAAAGACTGGAATTGTGGACCAAACAAGAAATTTTGGATGGTTGGTGAAACGTAGGATTTCTGAGACCCTCGGGAGCCCTCCTCTAGAAACTTCTGCGGGCACTGGCTTCCCTGAGTGCACGGATGCATTTTAATGAGACAGTCACTTGAGGTAACAGATGGGGTCGGTGGCTTGGTGTGTATTTTCTATGTTCTTTTTAAGTCTTCATTAAGAATGTGAAAACTCATAGTTGTCTACAAGCAGAAATGTTAATCTACTCACGAGAGAAAAACATAAATAATCCCCAAAGCTCAGATGCAATCAATCAGAACTAACCTTTGTTTTCATAAAAATTCATTTCAGGAAATTCTGCTAAGGTCCCAATTAATACCTAAACCGGATGTGTTCTCAGTTAAACACAACCTATAAATAAGCATTTGAGGTAAGTTATAACAAATGATTTTTAATATCATACTTGGCTACATAAAGAAATTTACTCCAAAAAAATCTAGCTAAACATTGAGTGTGGATGGCTCCCACAGGTGTGTGCTATGCTTTTTTTTCTATTTATAAAAGGAAATGTCTCTGTTTTGAAGAATGTCTCTATTCTTCCAAAACAATACTACATCAAAAAGTGACACGTGCTAACCTGCTTTACAGTGGACAGCTGGCCTTTGTTTACACTGAACTGTATTAAATATTACAAGCGAACAATTTAGTCAGAGAGAGCCGTCTCAGCCCCTGTCGCTGCCGCTCTGCACCATCCTAAATGACTGACTTTCTGAGCCTCGGATTCAAATCTGTTAAAAACAAACAAGCATACAAAAATCTACTCCCAAGAAGGCTGGGGTACTGCTCCAGAGAGAGCCTGTACTTAGCATATGCAAGGTCCTGAGCTTGATCCAGCACCGCTGAAGAAGAACGTGTTTGCATGTTCCTAAAGAGAGAAATGCCATGGGTGTTGGATGTTGGGAAACTACTCCGCAAACAGTCACCACACCGAATGCTAATCTGTCTCCTCGCTTCCATTTCTCCCCATCCCCCACAGCGTGCAGAATGACTTTTGACCGGTTTGTTTAAGAAAAAAAAAAATTAACTCCACCTCCAAGGAACAAGACAACACACGAAGAAAAATTATTAAAATATGTTCTTCAACACCCTCCTCCCTCAGCCCTTGAGAGTTTCTAAATCAATGAGCTGGATATTATATTTGCATATTAAAGCCAAACAACACATTAATTTATAGAGCTGAAGGCAGAACAAGGTGTCCTTTTGTCAAAACAAGTAATTCAAAGCCTATGAACAGAAAGCAGCAATTAAAATCTCTGTTAGGAGCTGTGACTACAAGTAACGCAACCAGGTTACTAGAAACACAGAAGACCTCTTCCATATGTACAGCTGGGTGGTACTAACTATAAAATAGTCAACTCACTGGCTATGTAATAGTCTGACGCTGCTGCCAGAGCCTAAAACATTTGGGGAGCAATCCTGACTTGGTACCTAATCCAGAACTTCATTCCCTCCTGCCTTTCACCACTTATTCTACATTCACCAACAGCACATTGATAACACATCTGCTATTCATAGTACCAGGAACTCTAGTCACATATGGTAGTGCACATCCCATGTGAATGTCTTTGAGTTCTGGCCTCAGCATCTCAAAGGATTTCATAGAGCAGCAAATGGGATCAACACATAACTGGTACCCTGGCAGCAATTGCTGAACTGAATTTAAGGAAGAAAGGCATCAGGGCCTTTCTAATTACCCCTGGTGAATCCATCCACCTTAATACCAAACCAGGACCAATTCCACCAGAAGTCTCTTAATATAATGTCTAAATTATCACATAAAAATTAAGAAAGCACAGCCTCTCCATAACCTACATATCTTAGCATCAACACCAAAGAAAACTGTCCCTTCTAAAGGCTTAAGATCATCCACAGATGGCAAAGAGGGACGCTGAGTCCCCAAAGTACACCCTCAGCTAATCTGCACTATTTTATGAAAAGCTTTCATGTTTGTTACACTGGACAAAGTCTGGCACACAGCAGTGATAGCCTTAGCTGAGCATCACTGCCCACCTCCACGACAGCCAAGCCCAGGAGTCCAAGCAAAGTCCTTTTCACCTGGGCACTACTAGCTCTATTATGTATAGACATTATTCAGTAAAATAGTGAATGCTCCTCCACAAACTCCATGTCTCCAGAAAACCACTTGACTGGTGGCCTTGCTCCATGGGCAGGAAATCAATCCTGTACCTAGGAACATTTCCACAGTTCTACTTGAGTGACCTTCCAAGAATGTAGGTACAAAGTCTGGGTCACAGCCGGTCTGCCAGCCACCTCTCTTCCAGACGAGGAAACACTTCCCGAGTTCACCTTACATGACATGAGTTGCTCAACAGAGAGGTCTCAACGTTATGACACGTTGAGCCTTTTGGTCCCTTGCAGCCAGATCCCATGAGTTACCATCTCATGCAGGAAGACTGTCAAGAGCCCTCAATCTTGAGACCCAGACACAAAGCCTCCCAAGTAGTGCCTAAGACAAGCGATAGTGCTGTCAATGAATGCCTGTCAACGAACCCAAGATGTCTTTAGGAAGGGCAATGTCTTCTCTCAGAATCACTGCAGGAGGGATATGAGTACAGAGATCAAAGGGCACTGTGAAATGATGTTGCTAGCTCTGAGAAAGCGGGATTCAGGATGGTAGAGTCATTTGCTTTACCATGCTAACTCCTGACCTAATGGAGGACCATATTCTGTGTGAGGCTGACAAATCTCCCATCTCCTCTGCAGTGATTTTCCTATCCTATAGCTTTCCCGACTGAACTATTCATTTTCTGAAGCAGCCATGGCATTTCCTATACAGAAAAAAATCAGTAGAGAATTGCCAGTATGTTGAGGGTATAAGTGAAATCCCCAGTGAGGACTCAGTCTTACCCTGGGAATTTCTTTATCAACTACTTTGAATGTCAAGGTAGTAGTAACTCTTAGCTACTTTTAGTGGGCCCTGAGGAGGTGAATTTTTACAGCCATTTCCTCAGATAAGAAAGCCATCATTTTCTTCCTTATTAAGCATCTCAAATTACAGTTTCTAGCCAGATTGTTTAGCACACTAGTTTTAAAGCCCCTTATGAAAGAATACTGTAGTTTAAATAGTCAAGCTATCAGATGTATGATTCAGCAGCCACTTGATCTACCTTATGATGGAGTAAACAGACTAAGAGAAAAATATATCTTAGGAAATCCTGTTATCGTTCATTACAATGCAGTATACAGTTCTTTGAAGCATTTGGAATTTTTCTACCTGATTGATAGGTCTGCTATGGCTTAAGATGCTATTAACAGTGCTTTAGGGAGCATTCAGCTTCCACTCATCAAAAACACATCTGGTTTGCTCTCTGAAAGCCGAAGAAGCATGGCACACTTCTATTCTTCCAATCCAGTTGCATAGTTGAGGCAAATTCTATTGTGCTTTGAAGCAGAACTCACAGTAGGTGTTCAAATCTAAAGAACTCTGACTTGCAAATGCAAAGTCTTGGTAGAGCTCACCTTTCTCTGGAGTGTATGCTAATGATATGCGTGGTCATAGCCTTTCCCATGGCTAACCATGGACAGCAGGCTTGTGCCAAACAGGAGCGAGAGCATTAAATGAACCCAGCAGAAGTGGTAACAGATGTATCTAAGCTCCTCCCTGGAAAAAAAAGAGGGGAAAGGCTTCCAGTCTTGTTGAGGTATCCAGCCCTCAATCAGTAGTGGCTGTGTATACTGAGTTTTGTTGGTTTGAGGATTGTGTCTGTAGAGGTTTAAGAAAAGAAAGTAAGAAGGCACAGGTGTTTCTCAACTCGCCATATTCAACTCAACCAACAAAACATGTCTTCCTTTTCCAGGCTTCAGCAGGGACTTCTACAGAACAGAATTGGGACTCTCATCCTGCCCAGGGTCTGCAGAGGAACTTATTGCTTCTGAGAAAGGCCCAGGATAGGTCTGTGTAGTGCATGGGAATCCCTTCTGCAGACCAGTTTCTTCGTGGAATTCCCCCTGGGTGCTGAAGGCTGGGCATGATGTAGTCCGGGCATATTTCTCAGCTTTGTTGGGCTGACCCACTAGCTCACTCACAGTGCTCAGCGGGAATTCTCTGCACCTCCGCCTCTGCAGTTCCTCCTCTTTGTATTTGATAGAGTACCAGGCCAGGAAAATAAAAATAAAGCCAACGAATTTGAGGCCAGCCGCCAAACCGAAGTAGACAAAACGAAACGACGTCACGTTGTACTCCCAGCAAGACCCCTGCACGCCACATTCCTGCTGCCAGAGCATACAGGTGGTGTCAATCACGGCTCCAAAGTAAATTGGAGTAGGAATGTATGCTGCAGTCATGGGGAGAAAGAGAAACACAAAGGTATAGCACATCCCATAAGAGAAAACAGATCTGTCATTAACAACAAAGCTTGTCCAATGCCAAGAGAAGGATTTTTGTTTAATTGAATTTTCTTAAAGACATGTTCATCTAATTGCAATTTACTTATGAAAATAAACATCAAATACTTAGCATCTTTCGCTTTACAACTCAGGCTATCTCTGTGCTGATTAGGTTGATAAAAGTAGCTACTGCTTTCCATGGTTCCCAGGTTCTTACACTGGACACTTTTTATAGAGTTTTAACAGTGAGACCTCAGTAGAGTCGAAAGAATTGTCTATTGCCAAAAACGCCAACACAAAATCCTTTCAAACTCAAAGTTCTTGTCCCCTTTATGCCAGGTTGGAGCAGGACAGAAAGACAGGGAATGTCAAGGGGACATGGAAATGGAAAGAGGCCCTTCACCCTGGAGTCCGCCTGAAGTCTGTTGAAGCCGAGAGTCAAGAATTTTAGCACAAAGGGAGGTGGCTCCATGGGTAAAGTTCTTGATGTGTATCCTCAAGGACAGGAATTCAGATCTCTAGTACCCACATGGAAAAAATAAAAAGCTGGGCGTGGCAGCGTGTGTCTGTAACCCCAGAGCTGGCAGGAAGGTCTCTGTGAACTCAAAACCAGCCTGGTCTACATAGTAAGTTTCAGGCCAGTCAGGACTATGTAGTGAGGCCTTGTGACAATAAATACATATATAAATAATAAAGTAGAGAAACAATTGAGGAAGATGTCCAGATGTCAACCCCTGGCCTCAACAAAAGTCTTACACCCCTGCCAGCAACACACACACACACAGAAGTTCAGCACAATTAACAAAATAAACTGTAAAGATTGTCTCCATAAAGACAATATTCCTTTTTATAGAGGTATTTCAAAAAAAAAAATGTTAAGATAGCAATAAAGCATGCAAAAGCCCGCATGGTAAGAACCTTTCTCAGCTGTACACATGTTTTTGTTAGTTTGTCTGAGAATATCACAGACAAGATCTCAATGACCTTGTTTATAGTCAAAACCCATCTTAACTCCATGGTGATCCAGTCTAATGAGGGGTTTCAACACAACCCTGTGACTTACAGTTTTGTCTTATCAGCCTACAGTCCCATCCAATTCACTTCAAAACCCACCCTCTGATCTCATTTACCGAAAAAAAAAACATTTTTTAAAAAAGTTTCTTAGAAGCTCTTTAAACAGAGTAAGTTCAGAAGCCACCAAAATTGGATATATGGCTACTGGTAAGACACTGGTTTGCAACACTCTCCTGAGAAGCGCAGGACCACCCGCGGGTACATACTGTCTTTGTCCTAAGTGCCTCCCACTAGCATGGGCGCGTGTATGCTCAAGTATGATCGAGTGTCTACTTAGTAAACTCTACTGAACTTCCTACTGTCTCACCCTGACATGCTTCTCTGTAGCTCAGTGGAGAACCCCACCTCTCCTGAGTGGGGGTCCCTGACGGAGCAAGCTTGGCAGGCTGCTAAAGGATAGGGTCGCACCTTCCACTCAGACCCGCTGCAGCCGGCAAGCCCCACTTCAAACGGTAACTTCACAAAAATATTTGGTGTATGGAGAGAACTGTGGCCTACAATCCATCTTTGAAGCTCCTCAAAGATCTAGGAGGAATAGAAGCTCTGTTGTCTGGGCTGTGTGTAACAGGCACCTCTTTCAATTCCACAAGAAGGCAAGCTTAACTAGATAGAATTCCACCACACCCTTTGCCAAAAAATGTGCCCCCACTCTAACTCACCCATCTGGCTAATGCCATTTCTCCTTTCAATTCCTGGACCACATGGACAGCACTCTGCTGCCACTATGTCTTGTGTAGACCTCCACTTTATCAACTACCAAAGAGCATTTACTTAAAGCCTCTGCCATTCGACACCCCATAAATCCCTTGATACAGAGCCTGTTCCTTTTTGTGCTTGGCATCCTAAGAACTTGTGTGACAGTCCATGACTGCTCAGTGCATAGAGGTAAGACCTGGATAGGTTGAAGCAGGGAAGGAAGAAGGAAAGAAGAGAAAGCAGGATGAAATGGAAAAGGATATCTAGGGCTGGGTGGTGGTGCACGCCTTTAGTCCCAGCACTCAGGAGGCAGAGGCAGGTGGATCTCTGCGAGCCCACAGCCAGCCTGGTGGTCTACAGAGGTCTTCTAGGGCAAGGGCTACACAGAGAAACCCTGTAGGAAGAAAGGAAGGAAGGGAGGGAGGGAGGGAGGGAGGGAGGGAGGGAGGGAGGGAGGAAGGAAAGAAAAGAAAAGACAAGAAAAGAAAAGAGAAGAAAAGAAAAGAAAAAAGAAAAGAAAAGAAAAGGGACACCTAACAGCTCATGAGTCTGTGAATGGGACATTTTAAAGTCATTTCTACTTATTGAAAATGAGGTCTAAGGGCTGGAGAGATCGACTGCTCAGCAATTAAGAGAGTTGACTGATTTTCCAGAGTTAGAGGTTGGTTCCCAGTACCCACATAGGTAGCTCACAACCACCCTCACTCCAACTCGGGGTATCCAATGACTCTGGCCTCCTGTGTCTGGCATCTGTACTCCCATGCACACACCTACACAGACACACATAAAGGCACATAGTTAAAAATAATAAAATAAATCTTTAAAATGAAGCCTACTGGTAAGATTAAATGGTAACTTTCTTAAGAGGACTAAGGAGTGTTTGGCTTTGAAATTTGGAGAAAATCAAATTTGGGTGGTTAGCTTAACTACACTTCTGCACACCCAATATAAATGAAGACAGAATTGAGCTGGGTAACAAGTGCCAGGTGGTGTGCTTTCCTGGCTTATTAATGGTTCTGCAGGTGACTCTCCTTTACCCCAAATTCATGTCAAATAACCCAACTCCTGTCAGAGAGGAGCAGAGCCAAAATAAGGATGTTTTTTCTCTTTTTCAACTCAATCATCACTTTGATTGACAAATTTCTGTCTTTGAAAATATCCTTTTTAACCAGGCATGTGGTGCACAACTGTAATCTCAACATTTGGGAGGAGGAGGAGGAGGTTGGAAATCACCGTGAGTATGAAGTGTACGTAGGAAATTCCAGGCCACCTAGGGCTATACACATAGCAAGACCCAGACAAAAAGAGATAAATAAATGCAAAACCCCGAAATAACAACAAAAGCAGCACTTTTTAGCTTAGGGCAAAAAGCACGAGGCATAATTCTTAACAATGTGCAATTGTATTGAATCCTCTGTAACCAACATATTTTAACAGCAGAAGTTTCAAAAACCTTCAAAGTCCTATTAGCACCAAACTGCAAACCACACCAGGGGACTTTTTCTGCTGCAGGTTATTGGACTCGGCTTTGGCCTTAAGGCCATCAACCCTGACTCACTGCACACAGAATTCCAGGGAGTGTGAATGCTTCAAAGGAGAGCAAGGTGCCATTTGAAGATATTTCACCTTTCAAAACGGAAATGCGAATTAAAAACAAACCAGTTTTTTTTCCCCTTGTCCCATGAACAATGGTACTGATTAGTCCAGGGAAACACCAGCTGAAGAAAATGACAGACTCCACTTAAGGGGAACTAAGCTTGAGGAAGAAGTCAACTGATTGTCAAACAGATGAGGCAGGGCAGCTTCCAGGTCCATTTCCCACTTAGGGTCCCAAGACTTCAAGGAGTGATGCGTTACCTTCCTGCTCTGTTCACACTGACACCCACAAGGCTTTCCTTGTTGGGGTGTGAAGCCTCTCTGTACTTTTGTGACCGTTCTTTTTTGCTTTTTAAGATATTTTCCTCAGAAAACTCTACAGGTGTACACTTCAACCAACCCAATAAAATTACCCTAAAGCAGTAAGAAACGGAAAGGGTCACAAGTAATATACACCCTGGTTTCTTTCACATTGGTGTCAAAAGGCATCAAGAGACCAAAAAGCCAGGTAACAAAGTCATTACAAATTTCTTGATTTCTTATTTCTTACTGTATAAAACTCTAGGGGAGTTTTGTACTAGTTTGTATTCAGAGTCAAAAAGAAACTAACCTAAAATCCATTTTCTATTGTTTTATGCAATGACCTTGTCAACTTCTAGTTCAAATCAAATAATGAGGAAGTGTAAGCGTCCTCTCAACCGCAAACCTGTCTAATTCTACCCACAATGACACCAAGTGACTCAGTTTGCATTTTTAAAGGACCGTAGCATTTGCCTACTGCAAAGAGGAATTAAGGGAACAATTGGGAATTTGGGGGACATACCAAGTGTTCGCAACAAAACAAACTGCATTCCCAGTGCGAAGGGCCTTTCTTCATCTTCCACAGACCTAGAGGAAGGAGAAGGAAACAGTGGTTTTTAAAACAGTGGCTCCAAGAAAATGCCAGTAAAATCGAGCCTGCCTTAGGCAGAGCCATATACTAGGATGTTTTCTCAAAATATTTAATCCACTAGAATGTAGTAACAGTCACCAACCGAGACTCCCTGAGTAAATCACAGATGAGACATGTCTCCACCAGAGGCTGATTAATTCTGTTTCTGTGTGAATAATGGAGAAGGAGCAAGGCTCTTGGCTGAAGAGATAGGGGCTCCTCTAAATGAGCACCCCAAATCCCTTCTACTAAGAAAAAATTGTAAACATTTATCCTAACCATTGTAGTCTCTTATTCTCTTTCTCTGCCTGTCTCAATGTTCCAGAATTGAAGGTGTATCCAATGAAAATCATTTTCATAATTCTTACAAGATGGGGGGCGGTGTATGTCCTAGCTAATTTATATCAGCTTGATACAAGCTAGAATCTCAAAGGAGGGAACCTCAATTAAGAAAATGCTTCCATAAGATCTGGCTGTAGGGCATTTTCTTAATTAATGGTTGATACGAGAGGGCCCAGCCCATTGTGGATGGTGCCATCCCTGGGCTGGTGGTCCTGGGTGAGGAAACCATGATGAACAAGCCAGTAAGCAGCACCCCTCCATGGCCTCTGCATCAGCTCCTGCCTCCAGGTTCTTGCCCTGTTTGAGTTCCTGTCCTGACTTCCTCCAATGATGGGGTATAATGTAGAAGTGTAAGCCAAATAAAGCCTTTCCTCCCCAACTTGTTTTTGGTCATGGCATTCCATCACTGCAATAGAAATCCCAACTAAGACAAAGTAAAAGCAGAAATTACAGGCATACTCTCATGCACATACACATGTACACACACATAAATGAAGAGCCAGAGAAATAAGCTTATTCAAGCCATATTCCCCCTCACCTAAAATTGATGTTCTAAATAATTCTCATGTAAGAGGAAGATTGGAACCTATTGATTTTGCAATTAGCAGAGATTAAAAGACCCTTCTTCAGAGATTTGCTGTTAGAGGCCAACTCATAAATTGCCATGCTTGAACACTTCGGAACATTTGTAAAGTGAGGCAGCCCTTATATAATCTACTTAACACTTTTTATAGAATTACAGTGGAAAAGAGTGAGATGCTTCAGATAAATCAATTTACTAACGGGCCACACAGTTTCCACATGATGGAGTACTTTATGCTTTTTATCTCATCCACAGAGGATCTAGGTGTGGGATAGGAAATACTTCCAGGCCCAGGGCCCTTACTGTCTTTTCCTCATATTCCAATTGTTTCATAGCAGTTTGCCAGCTCTGCATACATGGTTACTCCATCAGCATCTCCTGATCATGAATAAGCCTGTAGGCCTTCTATGCCCTGTTTTCTATCCATTCAGGAAATGTCTCTCTCAGCGTCCAACGAGAAAGAAACCAGAGTGTGTGAGGGGTACAGGCTACTCACTCTCAGTGAGCACGGTACTTCTGGCCAGGTAGCCAGCATTATGACCTTGGAAAAACCAGGAAGAAGAGCAAGAACTGACTCTCTTCCTCCTGTGTCATTGAGCCACATCCCTGCTCCCCTCTAGCCCACAGGGTCACTCTTCCGGCTTTACCACAGTAACCCCCCCTACCTCTGCCCACCACAGCCTATAACAAATAGATCTGAATGTACAGAACCAAAGTAGCTTCTATGTCCTCTCCTAGAGGGGGAAAAAAAAAACAGATCTGCAATACAGCAATGAAATCGCAGCCTGACTGGCAGCTCACATTTCCAAGTCTATCCTGTCCTTGATTCAGCTCCAGGACTTTATACAATAGGAAAATTAATGAACTCAGCATTTTGAAATGCAAACCCAGCATAATCCCTCATTGATCCCAGAGGTGCAGTATTAACCATTCTTGAGGCTGGAGGTGATACCCTTTGCAATATTCACGATCTAGCCACTTTGCCAAACTATTTCCACCCACCTCGAGGGTCTGGCTTCTTGGAGCCAACCCAGAGATGGCCTTCAACTCATGATGTCTAACCTCATAGCACAAAGACTTCAGACACTAAAAGCACTGGAAAGAAAGCTTGGTAAATAATAGAAATAGAGCCCAGCTGAAAAAAAAAAGAAACTTCTAGAACATGGTTCAGCCATCTTTTTCTCTCTGGTTTAAAGCTCTCCCTTAAACCGGCAGGAAATGTGGGGCGCCCTCCTGCGAGCTACTCTTACTATCCCCCAGTTTGCTTCGCTTCACTCATCCTACGGTGCGCTCCGCAGCATCTGCTGGGTGCTGTCCTTACCTGAGTGTTACTATAATGGCGGACGGCTGGGCACAGGCTGTGATGAAGGTAACTATGAAAAGGAAAACCAAGAAGGGGATGAGGGTATTGCAGGTGCGTTTGCACTTCCCAGACACAGCGTAGCCGTTCTCGTTGAGATAGGTTTTCACAATGACCACGCGGAGCTGGCTGCGCTGACCCACCGTGGGCGGGGTGATCACTTGTCGGCTCTGGACGCAGGCGCACTCTGTGTAATTCCGAACCTGAGTAGCAAACGAAGATTAATGGTGTGCCCATCAAAAATAAAACGTGGAGGCGGAACGCTGACAAAGTCAAAGTGTTAAAAAAATAACTGTAAGATTTTTAAATGCACAATATTGTACACAAAACACTTGGTTTCTTAACAGCAATAAAGGGTCAAAGTTTGCCTTAATGATATCAAAACCTGCTGGTCAGACGGTTTAAACCTAAACTTCTCCAAGCTTTAAACACTGAATTCTGTGACATTTACATGCCATGTGCTCATTTGGGGTCATAAATACACATGGCTTTGATCACTGTTGAACTTGTAGACTTTCCAGTTAGGGAAGCCCCTAAAACAGGAGCCAGTTTGATTTTTATTTGTGCTCACCAGAGTGCCTAGCATAAGTGTGAGCACACAATGAAACCTAAAATAAACATGGGTTAAACTCCTAACACAAGTGTGATTGCTTCAAACATGCCAAGTGATGTGGCCTCGGAATGATGGCTTCAGCACCAATGACAATGAACTTGCCTTTGGCTATTCCAGTATAAACACTCTCAGTCCCTTCAACAGGCTAGTGACCTCCACGAGTACGAATGGAGAATTCATCACTCCAGTCTGTACAGTAGCCTCGGCTCTGTAGTGCTCTGGACTCTGACGGACTCCAGCTGTCTAAAAACCCCTGCTATGCCCAACATCACTTGTTCCTTTTCCCCCCCACACATATCCATGAGTCCCTGTTGATGTATGATATGCCATTAGAGGGCACTGAAGACAGAGGAGCAAAGGAGACTAAATCTTCTCCAGTAACTTTTCCAAGTTCTTCTGAACACAGACACAATGATGAAAATGGAACTCTTGGTGATGAGTACTCAGTACGAAACAAGCAAACAAATATTAACGTGCTCAATTATTTCTTTGCCTAGTATCTTACTTTTGACTAAATGAAAATTAGCTGAACTAGTTCTCATGGTGACTGCTGAAAACAGTAGTAAGAACAGGTTGCCAGGGGTTTGGCCATTTAAGCAGGAAGGACTTCCCATTAAACACCACAGGGATCACTGCCAAGAAACAATCTCAGGAGCTCAATAGTGTCACACTCCAGAGCCCAATAACAATGTTATGTGCAACAGTCATTTCCAATTTATCCTCTGGTTCCAAACTCAGAAAACAAAAGTGGTACCCCCAAACTCCAGGCCAATGGTATAGTCTCTGAAATCTGCACAGAATGGGCAAATGCATTTTAATCTTTAAATTAGGGCAATCGCCGCCAATCCGTTCTCATGCCAACAGCCAAATTGGGCTCAGTAAAGAATAGAGTAGAATATAAAAACCTTCTCCCACAGTATTAAAACCCATTTATAATTCTCAGGGAAGAGAATTCTCAAAATAGACTATTCTTCAGCTGACAGAAATATCTTTACTCTGCAAGTTAAGGGGGTGGAGGGGGAGTGAACTGACATATAGTCTTATGAAAAATGGGTATCACCCATCTTCACAGACACCAGTTAGAGGACCAGCCCCCACAGTCTCTAGTCTCTTTTTTCAGCACCAACTCTAGTCACCTTGACCTTCAAATCTGTTACAAAGACCCTGTCAGAGGACCAAATGGGAAGCCCGGAATCCAACCTTATCAAGTTTCCCTGAGTTGGCACGGAATGTCAAGTAGGAATCAGCTGATGAGGACCAGAACTGTACACCCAGATTCTCCCAACACCCCTGACAACAGTGACAGCCCTGCACAATTTGCCTCTTATGAGGTGTTTTTCAGAGTCACTTCAAAGGCTCTTTGGAGTCTCATGAACAAGGGAACCTGAAGTCATCATGGGTGCATGTGAGTCCCATCACATCCTTGTCTCATGGTGTTGAATTAATTAGAAGAGAGACTTCTGGAGTATACTCACCCCGGTGCTAAGATTGCCACTATTGACACAGCCAGCCAGGCACGGGTTGAAGTATGTGATTCCATCTGATCCGCAGACTGGCTCATATTCATGTATTTTACAACCGCAATTAACATTGCAGCTTCCTGTCAGATTCCTATGGGGCATGGTGAGAGAAGGCCTGAGAGAGAGAGAGAGAGAGAGAGAGAGAGAGAGAGAGAGAGAGAGAGAGAGAGAGAGAATGAAAAAATCAAGCAAGGCTGAGAATGAAACTAAAAAGAATATTCTTGGTAGCCAGTGAATTTACTTTAGAGACAATATTCCCATGAATGGAACTTATGGTACCATGAAGTAGTCGCCCTCTACAGCAATTTCATTTCCATAAACTTGCAACAAAATGTAAAGAAAATATTTCTGTCTTCATTAGAATAGATGAAATTGATTTAAAATCAAACTATCTGCCTGCCTCAATCTCACTGTCCACTTTGATTCAACAGACTGACCTTATGTCTGAGTTAGTGATTTCGACCCTCATAGAACTCCTCACTGGGAAACACTTGGTTCTGTGTCTTAACAAATAGGAGTCATGATTTATTTCATTTTATTTTATTTTGGACCTGCTGGGGATTAAACCCAACAATTCAGGCATACAAAGCCTGAACTCTAGCACTGAGCTACATACCCACCTTAGTTTACTTATATATATAAAATACGTATACAAATTTGTGAGGTATATGTGCTATTTCAATACACATATACATTACATAATGATCCAGTCAGATTAATTGTCATATCTTTCATCTCAAAATTGATTGAGTTTTTGAACTATAAAATAGAGAAAATATGTTTCATTACTGATTCTTTAAAATCATTGTGAGCACATAGACATGAAATCCATCCACTAGCCACAGTTACCAGTGTAAGTTTCGTTTATCAAAGACTTGACTTGTTCTAGAATAATTTACCAAAGGAATACAATAATTATAGAAAACCAAGAGGAAATGATTTGCAAAGGTGACTGGTTAAGAACCCTGTCACTAGTTTGACAGAAATAACCAAAGAAGAAAGATTAAGCAGAAATCACTAGAAATGCCCAGATGCAACTCACAGTCAAACATGATGGGCATGTTTCCCCATGAAGTCACTGTGCTGGATACAAAGAAATATGCACTATGAAAGTTCAAGAAAAATACATTCAAGGAAAATCCATTCAAACCATAAGGATAAAGGGAGAAATACAACATATAAAGGCACAAAGGTGGAGAGAGGGTGTAAAATGGCAGTGAAAGAGCGGCAGGCAGGTTCCGGGGGGCACAGAAGAACAAGATTGACTCTAAAAAGTTCAAAAGCAAGGCAGTATTACTTGACACGTTGTAACCATTCTCATGCAGTAGTGGTAAAATACTGTTCCTAAAGCTAACTAGGTCAGCAAGAGCAGATGTTTCATGCATCTGTCCCTTTATCCATTGTCCATCCATTCAACAAATATTTGGGAATGTCTGGTATGTGTCAGGACTTATCTTCAGTGAATATGTTAGTATAACTTATCTAGTAGCACAGCCCACCCACCCAAATGCATTGCTCTACACGCTTAGCATGTATATTCTTTATTCTATGGCTTCTCATGCTGTGATAATTCAAATTGGATGAAGAACCAAATTCAAACCAATACTACAGTTGTATCAAAAAAGCTCCCTGACAAAGCAAAAGTCAAATAAATTCTGTCCTCCCATCTTGACACTCCACAGAAGAAATTTAGCTCAAGACATAATCATTATATTTATAAACTCTTAGTCTCAAGACATTTTAATATTTGAAAATACCCCAAAGTAATTCTAAATGAGTGATTCATAACAGGGACAATCTTGTTCTCCCACCCAGGGGACATTTGGCAATGTTGGGAGACAGTTTTGCTTGTCCTAACTAAGGGGTGCTGTGGACATCTGTTAGTGTTATACAAGGACACCTCCAAACACAGTACAATGCTCCAGATAGCTTCCCCCATCCACAAAAAGGACAACCTAGCCCAAATGTCAATGGCACTGCAGACAAGACTTCAGACCAATAAGCACATTCTGCAGATGATGAAGTGAGGCTTTAGAAACCCAGTGCCATGTTACCTACATTCAGTGGAAGTATGCAGGACAGTGTAGATTCACCTCACCAACACTTCAAGAACTAAACTGCAAGCCACGACAAGATAGAAGAGCTTTTCCAATCTGTGTGCTTAGTCTAAAACTGACAGACGTCCATACCAGACCAACAGCTGCTATTGCTGCTGGTTAGCAGTTGCTTGGCATTTTCCTCCTGACAGTCTGCTCTGCCTTCATGTGTAACAGCCACACCTTACAAAGGCCTGTCAAAAGCCCAGCAGTGGTGGTGCACACCTTTAGTCCCAGAACTTTGGAGGCAGAGGCAGGTGGATCTCTGTGAGTTTAAGGCCTCCTGGTCTACAAAGCAAGTTCCAGGACAGCCAAGGCTGCATAGAGAAACCCTGTCTTGAAAAACAAAATAAAAAACAACAACAACAAAGGTGAACAAAGTCTGTCACTTAAGAGAATGTCCACTCAGGAGGAATAGCCTTAAGCCAACATCAGCATATGCTTTAAACATATAGACAAGACCTTTCCTCTCAGACCTGTCTTGTTGGTTATGTCTGTTTTTATCCTGGTCTCTATTTCAGAGAAATAATACAATAGTATAAGCTCTAAGAAAATATTGAATTTAGGGGCCTGGAGGTGGCTCAGAAGTTAAGAGCACTTGCTGCTCTTCCAAAGGACCCAAGTTAAGTTCTCAGGACCCACACCAGGCAGCTAACAACCACCTCTAACTCTTACCAAGTAATAAGATGCCTTCTTGTTGTAGAATATTATTTTAAGGTGTATTACTTTTGTTTATGTTGCATTTGTTTGACTCCGTGAAGCTGTATTATTGTGCCTGTCTAAAACACCTGATGGTCTAATAAAGAACTGAACGGCCAATAGCAAGGCAGGAGAAAGGATAGGCAGGGCTGGCAGGCAGAGAGAATAAATAGAGGGAGAAATCCAGGAGGAGAGAAAGAAGGAGCCAGAGAAGGAGGAGGACTCCAGGGTCCAGCCACCCAGCTATGCAGCAAGCTATGGAGTAAGAAACAAAGAAAGATGTACAGGAATAGAAAAGGAAAAGCCCAGAGGCAAAAGATAAGTGGGATAATTTAAAGTTAAGAAAAGCTGGCAAGAAACTAAGCCAAGCTAAGGCCGGGCATTCATAATTAAGAATAAGCCTCTATATGTGATTTATTTGGAAGCTGGGTGTGGGCCCCCCTAAAAGTGCCAGAACAACCAACAACAAATTGGCGTACCAATTTGGGGCTTGAATATCCATCTAGAGTCTGAGAAAGCTGAACAATAACAAAATAAAAAGAGTATAGGGCCCCTTGAAAAAGTAAAAACAAACAACACCACCTTCTGGCCTCTGTAGACACACCATATATGTGACATGTACTCACATAGACACACACACACATACACATAAGTGAAAATAAATCTTTTGAATGCTAGCACCCAGGAGACAGAGGTGGTGAGTTCAACACCAACCTGGTCTACATAACAATTTCCAGGCCAACTAGGACAACATAGTGAAATCATGTCTCAAATAACAACAGCAATAATAGTAACAACAATAACAAAAATACTTTTAAAAAGAAAATAAATTAAGACAACAAATAGAATTGTCATGAAAAGAAGCAGGTATTCATGAAAGAGTCATTAAGAGGAAAGGTCGCCATGGAATGAAAGAGAAGGGAGCCAACAGGGCTCAAGCCTCTGCACTGGGCTGATTTGCAAAGAATCTTTGTTTTTTCTTACTGAAAATAGACATTTTTTTCTCACATACATAATCCTGATTTTGGATTCTCTACCCCTCCAAGTTCCTCCCCACCTCCCCTCCCATCTGGATCCACCCTCTTTCTGTCTCTCATTAGAAAATAAACAGGCTTCTAAAGGAGAATTATAAAATGAAATGAAACAAAACAAAAATCTAACACATCCGAATGGGACGAAACAAATAAGCAGAAGGAAAAGAGCCTGAGAAAAGGTGCAAGAAACACACCCACTTGCTGTGGGATGGTCTGTATGTCAAGTGTGTTGCTGATTGGTCAATAAATAAATCACTGATTGGCCAGTGGCTAGGCAGGAAGTGTAGGTGGGACAAGGAGGAGAATAAAGCTGGGAAGTGGAAAGCTGAGTCAGAGAGACACTGCCAGCCGCCGCCATGACAAACAGAATGTGAAGATGCCTGTAAGCCACGAGCCACGTGGCAAGGTATAGATTAATGGAAATGGATTAATTTAAGCTGTAAGAACAGTTAGCAAGAAGCCTGCCACGGCCATACAGTTTGTAACCAATATAAGTCTCTGTGTTTACTTGGTTGGGTCTGAGGGGCTGTGGGGCTGGCAGGTGAGAGAGATTTGTCCTGACTGTGGGCAAGGCAGGAAAACTTTAGCTACACCCACTTGTTCACATGTTTAGGAGTCCCACAAAAACACTAAACTGGAAGCCATAGTATATACCCAAAGGGCCTGTATGGTGGAGAGAGAGAGAGACAGAGACAGAGACAGACAGAGACAGAGAGAGATGAAATAAAAATAAAAAAGAATCATTTGTAAGAAGAATGTCTTGCTTGATTGTCAGTAACTCATCAGAACATGGACTGTTACTCTCACACAAGGCGCCATTCTGCTTCTCTTCTAAGATGAGATCAAACGGGGCGTGTTCAGCAAGGTATGGCTGGATCCCACACTGTGTTCTCAAAAGTGCATGGACTAATCTCAAAGCACTAAGAAATCCCTCACTTGTCAGGAGTGAAGCCATAACGGGAATAGAAGACGCACAAGGACCACTTAGGGTCCATTGCACTTATTGGCACAAAGGGACCAGGTACCATCTTTCTTGCCTTCTCAGGCAAGACAGCCTTCTAAATGAGATGCTCCTGTTAACTCATGGGTCAATGGAGGAGGACCTTTTGTTGTCTTTGAGATTGAGTCTCATGTAGCCCAGGTCTTGACCTCACCATGTAGCTGAGGATGACACCCTGAACTCCTGATCCTCCTGTATCCACCTCCCAAGAACTGAATAGTAGGTGAATGGTCCCTGTGCCCAGTGAGTCAATGTAAACTAACTTCAAGTGAGGCACAGGACATTA